ACACAAACACCACGACACACACCTCCGTCCACGCTTGCGCGTTTCGGACAGCTTATTTTCCTAGGAATCTCACCAACAACCTAAACGCTTCCTTCAAAGTTAAAGGCGACCGCGACCGCGGGCGCAGCTCGCGCTTTTCGCACAGCGAGAGCAGCGCCCTTTTCTGCTTGAACGATTTGAAATTCTTTTTCGCCCTCTTAATCGACTCAGTACGCAGCTCCTGCGCGGCTGCTAGCGCCTTCTCCTCTGCTTTCTTCTTCTCCTCCTCCGTCTTCCCTGCCCCTGCCCTCGCCAGAACCACGGAGTCACCCCTCTCCGTGGGGGAACGGTGGCTCAACCACTTCTTGAGGTCGCGGACCTCGAGGTAGTCCACCAATCCGTCGTCGTAGGCCTCGAGATACAGCCACGTCACCCTGCTCCACCCTCGCACAAGCGCTATGTGTGCGTGCGTGTGTGCGTGCGTGCGTGGCAGGAACAAATTGCCGCCCATCGGCAAAACAAAATGCCGACTATCTCGCGAACCAGATTTTTTTCGGAAAATCGGAAAAAATTCCATCTGGGGAATTTCGAGAGGAATCGATTGCCGTGGTCTTTTTGAAGCTCTATGGTTGAATGTCGGAGGGGAAAAGTGAACAAAATGGTCTCTCTAATCCAGTTTTCCGGCGATAACTTCGTCAATTTTTGCTGAAATCGAAATCGGAAAAAAATTCCACCAGGGGAATCGCGAGAGCTGTCGAAATCCGGTCTCATAATTGTGGTCTGACAAAAGCCCACCCCAGGAAAAAGTGAACAAGATTTTCCGGTTATTTGCAAATACATCGACAACAAGAAAAAAAAAAACTTTCCACAGGGACCTGCACCTGGAAACAGGGCGTTTGCCGGTACTTTCGGTTTTGCGAACAACCACCTGGGTGCAGAGAAACAATTCATAAAGTGGGTGTCGCAATTGTTGATATTGGGTCTTGGACTGACCATAGCACGAAGAAAAGTTGGTCGACGACACCCAAAGGGATAAAAACCATCACTTGTATATAACTTTGACGAATCTCTGCACACACAAACGAAAATATTAATAAAGCAGTATTGTTTACTGCTGTATATTGCTAATAATCCGTATACAAGATCGGCACGAAGAAAGGGAAACACGCACCAAGCACACAACACAACAAACCTCGGCCAAGCTGTTCAAATTTTGTGCAGCACTTAAAGACACACATCACTACGCATCGTTCTCGGCCTCTTTTTCCTCTCCCTCCTGCTCCATGGCCCGCTTCTTCTCCTTTTCCTGCTTCCACTCCTTGAATGTCCTTTTCGCCCTCGTCTACGTCCATCAAAATCGCGCCATCATGGCCACCCGAGAGCGCACCCCCAGCGCCTGGAGATGGAAGACCATGTTGCTGCGTCGTCTTCGGTTTCTTCGAAACCGCTCGGCCATCGGCTCCGCGCGGGCCGAACGTCTTCTTCTTGGACCGTCCCTGAGGCTTCCCCATGGTGCTTGCGTGCGTCTTTCGTGTTTTCGGGCCGCCACGTGTGCGTGTTGTTGTGTTCGTCTTGCCCAACGAAAAAAATCTCCCATGGGGACGGCACAACAAAAAGTTGAATATCTCGGAACCAGATTTTTCCCGACAAAAACCACAAATACCGACTTAGATATTGAGGAGAGGAATCGTTTGCCGCTGTTTAGTTTGAAATCGGTCGGTTAGTTATCCCCCGAAAAACAATACAAGTTAGCCCTCTAGATCCGATTTTTCTCTGATATCTCCGTGAATTTACAATATTTTGACCAAAAAAATAATACCGACCTGGCAAATCCCGACATCTGTTCAAATCCGTTGAGTTTTGTCGAATCGGCAATGAACACACCCCTGCGAAAACAATTCAAGTTTTTCCGGTTTTGCGCCGATAAAAAGTCGAGAGAAAAAAAAAAAAACTCTCCGTCACGCGATGCGCCTGCAAACAGGGCGTTTTCCGGTACTTTCAGATTTCGGAACAACCACCTGTGGGCAGAGAAAAGTTGTCATTTGTGCTGGGATAATTTTGGATTTTTTGGTGTGCACGGACTATACGTAGCGCCGTATTCAATCCCTGCCAGCAGCCTGCAGCATCTTTCTTTAACAGGCGCTGCGTGTGCTCCCCCTGCCCCTGGTGTTCCCTTTTCATAACGTCCCCGTTATTACAGCAAAAGCAGTTACACCAACGTTTGGCAAGGCTCGATTTTTCTGACGCGGACTCGTTCTTGTTTACTTCACCACCCGAAAGTAAATGGTTTCACATTTTAGTATTTCTTAGTTCGAATTATTATTATGGTAATACTAAACGAATTTTTAGTTTTGTGGATTCAGACAAATATTATTAATATAGATCCTTGAGGTGGGTGCTGTTGTAGCGCTTAAATAATATACTCGTTTAATTAGTAAGTCTATTTTTCAGAAACCTTCAAAGTGTATCTAAAAAAAAAGAAATGACTAGTTGTTTTATTTTTAGCAAATAAAGTTCGTTTGATCAAAGATTGTACTGCCAATTTCAAGGATTAATCTCCCGCCCCCTGTTCAATGTCGTGTTGCTCCCACTTGTTCTCTGTGAAAACAAGTACGTGGTATATATTTGCTGTGACAACAAGTACGTATCTTGCTTACAGCTCTCTCCCGTTGGTGTCGTGTGGGATGGATGCTCCTTGATAATGCGCGTCATGTGTTCGTGTCTTGGACCCATGACTATCGGCGACAGTAGCAGGGACGGGATGCTCCGCCTCGGAAGGGATCCGTGGGCAACGGTAGTCCTTCATGGTTTTGGTCAAGAAATAGTCAAGCGAGGCAACGAATGAGTGACCCTTCCCCCCAAGGATGACGACCAGCTTCCGGTCCATCCTCGTGAAACGCACATAGCCTGAGCCGCCGAAAAACCCGTTTTTATCCCTCCGTCTCGGATGCGAGGCCAATGGTTTGACGACTTGGGCATGCGTTTACATCACCCCCCCCTTCCCCCCCCCCCGGTGTTTTGCCATCGGGGTTGGGTTTTCGTCGCTTGGCAACGACGTTGTAAAACAAGCCGCCCCCCCCGGTGTTTTGCCATCGGGGTTGGGTTTTCGTCGCTTGGCAACGACGTTGTAAGACAAGCCGCCCCTCCCGGTGTTTGCCATCGGGGTTGGGTTTTCGTCGCTTGGCAACGACGTTGTAAAACAAGCCGCCCCCCCCGGTGTTTGCCATCGGGATTGGGTTGTCGTCGCTTGGCAAAGACGTTGTAAAACAAGCCAATTCACTTCGTGAACTCGGCATCCAGGTTACCGTTTTTTTTTTTACCTCCGGTTTGTTTTTTTAGCGGTAACCATAATGGTGGCCGAGTAGATCATGTTGTGCGGGGTGGAGAACCCTCGCTCCGCGCAAGGGGGATGATCGCACCACGTTGTGTTAAAATGGTCAAGCACCCTCGAGGCAGTTACACAGTGCTTACAACTGTCTCTGGAAGTGAAAGCACCAGAAAATAAATTAATTCATACGCAGCTGTCATCCGTACGCAAGGAAGTAAGCACAAGATGCCGAACACCCTTAGCAGGATGCAGCGCACCCTTCATGCGACTCGCCGAATATCTCACGGCGCTTCGCGCTTGGTGATGTGAGAGCCTGGTCCGGTGAGAACCCGGCGTGCTCCGTCCCGGCTTTGTAGGGATGCGAGGTCAATGGTCTAACGACTACGGCATGCACGACTATGAGTATCCCCCCCCCCCCCCTTCCCCCCCCTTCCCCGGCCCCTCTCTCCTCCCGCCCCCCAGAGATCACTCGATTCGCCCAAGCGTCGTGACCAAAAAGACTACAAAGTGGGCGACTTGATCGACGAGTCCACCGACAAGAGCGTGCTCGACCTAGCGGGCCGGGAGACGAGGCGCTTGCCCGACGTTGCCGGCGAGGAGAAGGTGGCGTGGGCGGCGGAGGTGCTGCGGATCGACCTCACTGAGACGGGCATCAGAACGTGAGTCGTATGCATATGATGCAACGTGTGGTAGTTTTTGGGCGTGGAGGTAGGGGGGGCGGGGGTACTCAGAACTGTGCATCGGGGGGGGAGGGGAAGGCTGCGGCCGCTGCTGTTTTCGGGTGGGGCGTAATCATGTTTCGCTGGCATTGTTGTTAGGCCATTGAACACGCATCCTCGAGAGGACGGAGCAAAAGCTACTTGGAGGGGGGGGCAAAGGTGGAGTGTTTGAAGGGCGGTGGTGATGGGAGCGGGGGTCGGAGCGGGGACGGGTGGTTTCAGTCGCATCGCGGCGGTCGGTCGGCTGCACACCGCCATAGCCACACCAACGAAGCCGAAATCAACGATGATTGCTGTCACACGACCACGTCGCCGAGATAAGAACCACGAACAACCAGCAACTACCAACACCAACAACACCAACATTTGGCACATGCGCAGGTTGAGAGGGCTCGACGCGTTTCCGCACGTTCAGACCCTTGTGCTTGACAGCAACGGGCTGCTCTCCCTGCCGATGGACTGCCCCTGGTGCCCGGCGGTGGAGGCGCTGTGGCTGTGCAACAACGAGGTCGAGAACTTAGACGGACTCCTGGGCCAGGTGCCGTTGCGTTCTACCTACATGCTTGGGGGGGAGGTGGGGGGTCTTACCGGGTGCTTCGTGTTCCCTGCTCGCTGGGGG